AATAGGGGTGCCTGGGTGGCTCAGTCGTTAAGCGTCTGCCTTCGGCTCAGGTCATGATCCCAGGGTCCTGGGATCGAGCCCCGGGTCGGGCTTCCTGCTCAGCGGGAGCCTGCTTCTCCCTCTCTCACTCCCCCTGCTTGTGTTCCTGATCGCGCTGTCTCTCTGTCAAATAAATAAATAAAATCTTTAAAAAAAAAACCAAAAACCAGGGACCGTGTCTTGGCACAAGGTGGAGAGATGAGGAGGGAGGGATGTGACGGTGCCAGCCCTCAGCATAGTTTGCTTCCTTCCTGCAGGGTGGTCGGGTCCAAGAACCAGCTAAATCCAGCTCAGGGGTTTGAAGTCCAGCACTACCCAAATGCGCTCTGGGTCTTTACTCTCTGCCTCATGTTCCTTGTCTGTAAACTGGGGATGGTGACCCCCTCCCTGCAAGGACTTCACATGTTAACTTGAAGAGAAGGAGTACGTCCAGTGTGAGTGTTGTTCCACCAGGAAGCAGTTTCCGCCGGAGGCAGGTCAGTGATGATCATCGACTGGCTGCGGTTGGGCGATGAGAAGGAAGTGCAGCCAACAGCTGGCATGAATGGCCCTGCAGGAGCCTGGCTGGCCGGGGGGAGGGGCGGCACTTGTAGGGGCATGGGCTTGCAGATGGGAACCCCCCGAGCTTTTCTGGCATCTGATGGTCAGGGCAGAGGCTGGCACAGGATCACACAGGAGTAGGGTCATATCCACAGAAGGCCCTGAGGCGATTCATTCTTCTCATAAGGCCAGTCTCCAGGTTCTTTGCCCGTTCCTATTGATGGCTCAAATGCGTGTGTCTCCTACCAAATGTCTGTCTGCAAAGAGCTGTCCAGACACTGTGCAGAGGGCAGGGGAGCTGTGGGCACCAGCTGCAGGAGGCAGAGGCTGGGCATCCAGGCCCAGCCAGACCGTCCTGGGGCAGGAGGCAGGGGGAGTCCATGGGGCCTCAAGGCTCTCACTTCACCCCTTGGGTGGTGTGCATCTGCCCTTGAACACACCCTCACAAAACATCGCATGCTCGCACACTGACAAAACACTCTCTCTGTGACCAAACTTGAGTCAGGCTCTTCTGAGCAGTTTTTGATGAGGCCTCAAACTTCAAGCTCCTGTGGCCTTCATTATAGAGTCTAGCCAGGTCAGTTTAGTAAGAATCTCCCACCCTCCAAATGTGTCTACTTGGGTTCCTCATCCTCCCCCTCCCCCCGGTGATGTCTGACCATCCTGGCCTGCCTTCAGCAAGAACCCTGTTAGATACCGCTTACCCCTGAGGGGAACAGCAGAGGGAGAGGGAGAAGCAGGCTCCCCGCCGAGCAGGGAGCCTGATGCGGGGCCGGATCCCAGGACCCTGGGATGATGACCTGAGCCGAAGGCAGACGCTTAACGACTGAGCCACCCAGGTGCCCCGAGGTGAGAGTTTCTTATCTCCACTTCTCCATGTTACAAAGTCAGGTTTATTATCTCCATGCTATGGAGAAAGTAGAGACCCAGAGATGTAAAATCATCTGGCTGAGCAGGAGAGAGTAAGAAGCACAACTGGGAACTGAGATCAGCTAGGTCCCTCTCTGTAGGCTGTACTCCTATTGTATCACCCTGCTCCTTAGCCAGTGGTTCTCAGCCTTGCCTACACATGAGAATTGCCTGGATAAAAATCTGGATGCCCAAGCCAAACCCCAAACCAGTGAAATTTGGGTCTGTGGTAGACAGAGTAATGCCTCCTCGCCCCACTTAAAGCTGCCCACACCCTAATCCCCAGAACCTGTGAATATGATACATGACAGAAGAGAATTTGCAGATGGGGAAGAGTATCCTGGGTCACCAGGTGTATCCGATGTCATCACAAGATCCTTATAAGTGAAAGAGAGAGGCAAAGAGGGTCAGAGTCAGAGAAGGAAATAAGATGACAGTGAAGCAGACATGAAACAAGAAAGTGGAAGAGGCAAGGAAATAGGTTTTCACCTGGAGCCTCTAGAAGGAACTGGCCCTGCCACCAGGGCAATTTTAGCCCCA